GCCTAATTTCACTCATCAATTTCTCCTTTCTCAAGATTCATTCTCTTCTTGAGTCTTCTTGGAATTTTTATGTATTTGGGTGGCTGGACATCTGAATAATCAGTCTTGAGCCACAAATTAGAAGCATTGACGTGATAGATAATTGAACTATAGACAGCCCGATACCTTGCTTTCTTGTAAATATTTGGGATGTAATCATAAACTCTTATTGTTCATGGTTGATATTACCTGAGCACAAGGAAGAGCAGTGACTTTCCATTTTCTAAAATAGAATAATGATCCTTCAAGTTAACATAAATTTTATCTATATGATTTTCAATATGTCTGACCTCAAAAATGTCTTCAGAAGTAAATGTCGATCTACCTTTGAAAATATGCACTGGTGATGATGTGCATGACTTTAATCTCTGTATTACATACTTTCATAGTTTAGAACAATACTGTAATTAATATCTTTATAAAATATAATAATATTTATTTCATGTTAAATATTTTAAACATGCTAAACACAGGGAATTGAAGTACTTATCAATGAAAGAAGAAGTGCATAAATAAAAGGTGTCATTTGAACATATTGGTACAAATTTATTGAGAACGGTGAAAACAAAAAGATATTTTAACTTTTTATTTTTAAATAAAAGATCAAAAATTATTCTATCAAAATACTAAGTATTAAAATGCACATAAATATAAATAAAAAAAAACTGAACAAAAAACTTAAAATATAGAAATACATATATTGAAATTTGACAACATTATTTAATTTTATTATTGATTGTCGTTACGACAAATATTTCAACACTAAAATAAGATTTATGGAAAACTAACTTTCTATGTATGGAGAACTATTGACAAACAGCTAAACATGTACAACGATGATTATTTGAAGCAAGATCTTCACAAGTACATTGATGAACCATGGCGCTTGCTCCAAATGCAGCATTAAGATCTTCACCACAGCTGCGAGAATTGTTGCATTTTCCCGGAACCTCCAAATGTCTTGGACAAAAAGCAATATCTACATGTTGAACGTAAACATAAATATGATTGAACTCATTGTTTAGAATTGGAATAGCTCTAAAAATGTTAGAATTATGTTACTATAGTTTTACCTGTGATAGCAATACGAGATCCGAAAGTGGAGGTGAAGAGAACAAACAAGGCTACAACCATTAGGAAAATGCTTCCAAACTTCATCATGATATGTTCTTTAACAAACAATCTTTTCAAATATAACTCTTAAATTGTTGGGTTGTTGTCAAAAAAGAGGACGCATATTTATACACTAACATTAATTAATTCAATAACGTCACTATTTAAGGTAAAATTATTTAAAAATGTTAAAATGACTTTTTTTATATATAATTAATAAAAAATGGATGGTAACAGTTAAATAACTGCACACTCAACTATTTAAATAATTATGTTTTTTAGATAACTTTATAAAATAACTTATATATATATATATATATATATATATATATATATATATATATATATATATATATATATATATATATATATATATATATATATATATATATATATATATATATATATATATATATATATATATTAAGGAAAAAGATTTTTTTTTTGTGATTAAAAAGAAAAAATATATTTTATTTCTGCTTATGTTTCTTCAATATATAATAAGAAACATAACCAGAAATAAAATATTATTTTCATTTTTAATAATTTTTTTTTAATATATAAAAAGAAAAAAATATTTTTTATTAAGAAGAAAAAATATATTTTATTTTTGGCCATGCTTCTTTAATATATATGATGTATTTATTGATGAAATATTAATAGAAATTAATAAATTATTTTTAAAAAAAAAATGTATTTGGATAACAAAATACTATTTACTCTTTAATTTAAAAATCTTGAGTAAGTATATTTCATATTTATTTCATTTTTCCTAGCAAAATATTTATAGGGTTAATTCGTTTACTAAAGAATTATATAATTAGTTATGTGAGTTGATTTTTTTCTTTTTATACATTGTACATTTCAATATTATTGTTCATATATTAAAAAATAATAAATATATTCTATATACACGCTATGCATAAATATAACTAATAAATAAATATAATTAACAAAATGACAAAACATAGATTTTTGGAAACAATAATTTTATTTTATTTTATTAACAAATATATTTTAAAAGATTAATTGGAAAATTGAAATAAATAATGAAGAAAAGTTGGTATGTTGTGTTTTTATCTTAAGATATTTAAGTTAATTAACTTTACTAATATCGACAATTATGTTTTTAACTCAAGATATTTTTGCTTATTAGAAAAAAACTCAAGATATTTTTAAAGAGTAATAATGTATTTTTTTTGTCCTTTACCCTATATCTCAGAGTTTATTTTTGTCTTTTTTTTAACAACTAATCAAATTCTTGATCTACTCAAACAACATAATACTAGTCTTTTCCGTCTATTTTTCTGAACGCTGCCAAATGTTGCACCCGTGGCTTTTAAGGTGGCATTTTTTCTTTGAAACCTTCTTCTTTATTGCGCCATGTTGGTTTTTTCCCATAACAAAGCCCTAAATCAAAAAATTCTAATTTCATTGTTTTCCTTCCATGTTCTTTAAAACAATACCTAAATTGAATACATGGGTTCCATAATCATAAGTTCTAGCCGTTTGTTCATCATCTTCTAGAAAAATAACATTATTAAAAATAGTGATTCTAGGTTTAAAATAGTTATAGTATTAGTTAGAAACCTTGTTGTCATTGTGGAGACATTGATGTTCTTTGCAGGGATAGAACAATTAGTAACTATAGAAAGCTATTTTGGGGTTGTTCATATTTTAAGGTAAGATGTAATGGTAAATAGGTGTTTGTTTCAAATTTCTGGAAAATATTATTGTGAATCTCCAACTTATTTTAACACATTGTTTGTTGGTTTCTTAATCTATATTGGGAATCATAATGGTTGTGGCTTCTTTGACTGGTTCTATGAAGAAACTGGGGATGAAAAATATCCATTGACGATGAAGTAAATAGGTAGGTTGAAAAATTAGAAGAAGAAAATGTGAAAGAAAAATTGGAGATTGAAAATTAAATGCTCAATATTGTTGAATTAGACATTGTTATGAAGAACATGATCAAAGTGGAAAAAGTTTTGGAAGTTTATGTTTTATGTTGTTTTCAATGTTTTAATAGTAAAGATGTTTTAATTTCACTATGTTAGCAAATCATGATGTACCAAATTAAGGTTAATGTGTGTTTATGGAATTATGTACCAGATTATGTAATATTGGTTTATTATGTACCGTATCATATTAAATATTTGTTTATTATGTAATGTTTGCAATTTTGAATTAAATTGAATGTTTGGTAAAGCTGATTTCAATTTTGATTAAGTAATTTTTAATTAGTACATTTCTGCTTGAATAATTCATGCATTCATTCAACACGAATAATGCAGGAATGAAATATAATAATGCATTTGTGGTATTATGTATCCTTTCTGCTTGAACCATAAAGCGTGTTACTCAATTTTGGATGAATTATGCATAACACTAGAGCATACATTACACCATGAATAATATGATTACAAAACATTAATTCAACATTAATTTAAACTTGCTCTGAATAGAAATAACATTGTTTGAGTAGTTCTCAAACAACAACATCAAACAGTACATAAATAAAAATCTCAAAACACATAGTAGCCTTAGAAAACATTATTGGAGTGGTTCTAAGAAATTAACAAATAAACACTATATAACCAAACATCTTAAAATACGCACTACATAACTAAACCCTAAAGGTCTTCTACTTTGGCATGGATCTCTTTGTTGAAGTACTCCTTCTTGTGGTTGGCTGAATTGAATTTCTTGTTGAACTGAGCATGGTTGTTGGACCCTGGCTTGTGGTTGTCCCAACCATTATTGGTGGCTCATTTGGCTTGGCTATCCTAATAGTAAATTTCTTTGGCCTCCCTTGGCTTGTTTGAAATTGTTGTGTCACCTGAATTACCTTACTAGCCCTAACTTGGCTTCCCTGATCTATCTGTTGAGTTTGTTGAACTAGTTGTGTAGATGGTGTCATCGTACAATTATAGTTATTGTGCTCAGTTTTCTTGCACATACTACACCTAAGAAGCATTCTAGTTTTTCTCATTATCTTTGTGCCTAATTTCACTCATCAATTTCTCCTTTCTCAAGATTCATTCTCTTCTTGAGTCTTCTTGGAATTTTTATGTATTTGGGTGGCTGGACATCTGAATAATCAGTCTTGAGCCACAAATTAGAAGCATTGACGTGATAGATAATTGAACTATAGACAGCCCGATACCTTGCTTTCTTGTAAATATTTGGGATGTAATCATAAACTCTTATTGTTCATGGTTGATATTACCTGAGCACAAGGAAGAGCAGTGACTTTCCATTTTCTACAATAGAATAATGATCCTTCAAGTTAACATAAATGTTATCTACATGATTTTCAATATGTCTGACCTCAAAAATGTCTTCAGAAGTAAATGTCGATCTACCTTTGAAAATATGCACTGGTGATGATGTGCATGACTTTAATCTCTGTATTACATACTTTCATAGTTTAGAACAATTCTGTAATTAATATCGTTATAAAATATAATAACATTTATTTCATGTTAAATATTTTAAACATGCTAAACACAGGGAATTGAAGTACTTATCAATGAAAGAAGAAGTGCATAAATAAAAGGTGTCATTTGAACATATTGGTACAAATTTATTGAGAACGGTGAAAACAAAAAGATATTTTAACTTTTTATTTTTAAATAAAAGATCAAAACTTATTCTATCAAAATACTAATTATTAAAATGCACATAAATATAAATAAAAAAAACTGAACAAAAAACTTAAAATATAGAAATACATATATTGAAATTTGACAACATTATTTAATTTTATTATTGATTGTCGTTACGACAAATATTTCAACACTAAAATAAGATTTATGGAAAATTAACTTTCTATGTATGGAGAACTATTGACAAACAGCTAAACATGTACAACGATGATTATTTGAAGCAAGATCTTCACAAGTACATTGATGAACCATGGCGCTTGCTCCAAATGCAGCATTAAGATCTTCACCACAGCTGCGAGAATTGTTGCATTTTCCCGGAACCTCCAAATGTCTTGGACAAAAAGCAATATCTACATGTTGAACGTAAACATAAATATGATTGAACTCATTGTTTAGAATTGGAATAGCTCTAAAAATGTTAGAATTATGTTACTATAGTTTTACCTGTGATAGCAATACGAGATCCGAAAGTGGAGGTGAAGAGAACAAACAAGGCTACAACCATTAGGAAAATGCTTCCAAACTTCATCATGATATGTTCTTTAACAAACAATCTTTTCAAATATAACTCTTAAATTGTTGGGTTGTTGTCAAAAAAGAGGACGCATATTTATACACTAACATTAATTAATTCAATAACGTCACTGTTTAAGGTAAAATTATTTAAAAATGTTTAAAATGACTTTTTTTATATATAATTAATAAAAAATGGATGGTAACAATTAAATAACTGCACACTCAACTATTTAAATAATTATGTTTTTTAGATAACTTTATAAAATAACTTTTATATATATATATATATATATATATTAAGGAAAAAGATTTTTTTTTGTGATTAAAAAGAAAAAATATATTTTATTTCTGCTTATGTTTCTTCAATATATAATAAGAAACATAACCAGAAATAAAATATTATTTTCATTTTTAATAATTTTTTTTAATATATAAAAAGAAAAAAATATTTTTTATTAAGAAGAAAAAATATATTTTATTTTTGGCCATGCTGCTTTAATATATATGATGTATTTATTGATGAAATATTAATAGAAATTAATAAATTATTTAAAAAAAAAAAAAGTATTTGGATAACAAAATACTATTTACTCTTTAATTTAAAAATCTTGAGTAAGTATATTTCATATTTATTTCATTTTTCCTAGCAAAATATTTATAGGGTTAATTCGTTTACTAAAGAATTATATAATTAGTTATGTGAGTTGATTTTTTCTTTTTATACATTGTACATTTCAATATTATTGTTCATATATTAAAAAATAATAAATATATTCTATATACACGCTTTGCATAAATATAACTAATAAATAAATATAATTAACAAAATGACAAAACATAGATTTTTGGAAACAATAATTTTATTTTATTTTATTAACAAATATATTTTAAAAGATTAATTGGAAAATTGAAATAAATAATGAAGAAAAGTTGGTATGTTGTGTTTTTATTTTAAGATATTTAAGTTAATTAACTTTACTAATATCGACAATTATGTTTTTAACTCAAGATATTTTTGCTTATTAGAAAAAAACTCAAGATATTTTTAAAGAGTTATAATGTCTTTTTTTTGTCCTTTACCCTATATCTCAGAGTTTATTTTGTCTTTTTTTTAACAACTAATCAAATTCTTGATCTACTCAAACAACATAATACTAGTCTTTTCGTCTATTTTTCTGAACGCTGCCAAATGTTGCACCCGTGGCTTTTAAGGTGGCATTTTTTCTTTGAAACCTTCTTCTTTATTGCGCCATGTTGGTTTTTTCCCATAACAAAGCCCTAAATCAAAAAATTCTAATTTCATTGTTTTCCTTCCATGTTCTTTAAAACAAAACCTAAATTGAATACATGGGTTCCATAATCATAAGTTCTAGCCGTTTGTTCATCATCTTCTAGAAAAATAACATTATTAAAAATAGTGATTCTAGGTTTAAAATAGTTATAGTATTAGTTAGAAACCTTGTTGTCGTTGTGGAGACATTGATGTTCTTTGTAGGGAAAGAACAATTAGCAACTATAGAAAGCTTTTTTTCGGTTGTTCATATTTTAAGGTTAGATGTAATGGTAAATAGGTGTTTGTTTCAAATTTCTGGAAAATATTATTGTGAATCTCCAACTTATTTTAACACATTGTTTGTTGGTTTCTTAATCTATATAGGGAATCATAATGGTTGTGGCTTCTTTGACTGGTTCTATGAAGAAACTAGGGATGAAAAATATCCATTGACGATGAAGTAAATA